CCTTGAAAAGGGGGGCAAGTTTTGATTGCCCACCCAACCCCCCCCGATAGGGAGATCGGAGATAGCCCACGATAAGTGTGGGTTTGTATCGGTATTGACATGAGCCTGGAGCTGACTGCGCCCCAGCGCAGCGCAAGTTTCCTTACCGAAGACACATGGATCCCGTGAGGCAACACAGTATTTGTGAGGCAAATTCCCATTGTTGCCGGCATGTCGACCTTTTGGGGGATGAAAACCTCTTGCGATCCCAACAGATGTGTTCAGCATTGAGTGCGAGGAGCACATGAAAAATACAAAACTCCAACGCATGCAAACTCACCCAAGGCTGGTAATTCCTCTGCGGGCACCGATGCTGCATTTGGGTCTGAGATGTTTGGGGTATACAGTTGAGTCAGCATCAGGACTTTGAAGATGCAGCCAAAAAGCCCCCTGCTGGACAATTGCTCTTCGGTTTGGCAGGGTGCCCATGAGTCGTACATTTAAACCCTACATCATTTGCTTGTGCCCGCGAGAGTCCCGAACGCATAACGCTGCAACGTGTGAATACAACACCAAACGGTCCAAGTGCGCATGCAGAGTGCGCTCACATTGTTGCCATGCAGTACTCATATGGGACCCCGCTTGGTCCCCAAATATGCAATGCTTAATTACTTGTCATGGACCGTTTGGTAAGCACAAACTTGCAGCCGATCTGAAGGTGATTCTTCCTTGTGCAGCCGCTGCAAAAAAATGCAAGTTTAATCTGCTCACGTGTTTTTTTCTAGCATTCGAAGTCCAGCATGCTGCTCTTTGCCTAACCCCAAGTGCATGAGATAGCATCGCCAAAATCCCGGTTCGGAACATGCGTCCTGCTTTGAACCCGCAGCCGTAGCACATGTTGTGCATGGACATGTTGATGTGTTGTGTCTTGATTGCGAAGCTTGGACTAAAATCATCTTTTGTTATCCTGACACCACCTATCATAGCCCACAAATTATGTGTAAGAAGTTAGCGAGCAATCAGATTTCATTCCTTGCATTGTGTTTCAACACTGAAAGCATTGAAGCAGCTCATCACGCAGAAGCTGCAGTATTTGAGCCCGTGTTGGTCAAGCTGCAGCATGGCATATTACAACGCCCAACAGGCCGATCCAATCTGATAGTCTCATGCAGGGGATTGTGGCTGTTGAGTGGTAGCCGTCATCAGTGGCTACTTCCTTCATGATCCTGGTTGCATATTCTCAAACACCGTTTCGCCGTGATTCAGGTGGCCGGATATCCAGGCTATGCAGTGTCGCAAGCAGTTGATGCAAATGCGTGAGTCTCAGACCTTTGCGATTTTCGTTTTGTTTTTTCGATGCATTGCTGCTCGCTTTTTGAAATGCATGCCGTGGCAAGCTGGCCTCAAGAGCTGGACAACTTCACGGCCCATCCTCGCCACGAGATGCGTACAAGGTTACTAAGTAGCCGACCGCTCTTTTCCATATATATATATATGCGTTTATTTCCGTGTATATGAGGTGAATCAGATTGTGTCATAATTCAGTTTTGATTTAAGCAGGCCACTGTGACCCGACATGGGAACCGTTAGCAGTGGCTTGACTGATGGTTTTTCACGAGCAACTTGTTGTGTGCAGCGTCGGGCATCAGCACGGTGCCTGAATCCTCACTTGAACCTGCAGCTCCTGAAGTGGGAGCATGAGGGCGCCAAGATTGAGGAGATATGGCTCATCCGCGATAGTTCCACTTTGCCAGACTTGGTGCCCCAGCTGGCTTCAGAGCCAGCAGACGCTCGCCTTGCCATTGTCTATAACATCTCCGTGGGCTCCTCTGGCCTGAAGCCTTTGAGACTGGACTGGCGCCCTGAAGGGCTTGGCTTCATGTTGCCAGGCTTAGTGGCAGTTCTTGTGGGGTCCGCAGTAGGGCGTTCTGTTGCCATACTCCGTTTGGTTAAACATGAGGCAAGGTGGCCTCTCGAAAGACTGCTTGTGCGTCAAAGTGCCTTCAAGCCCACTGCCTCTGGAGATGTTGATCATGCATCTGAAAGATGTTGAGAAGATTCTTGGCATGCAATCGTTAGGGTGAGACTGAGTATGCGTCAGAAGCGTTTTTTTGCCTGGCAATGTCAGCAAGCATTGTAAGGAAGGAGTACGATCCCCAACATTTCAACTCACAAGATTTTTGTGGCTTGGAATATTGAGAATGTTTGCAGTCTTGCCACCACGCTCTACTTCCTACTTCATGGCATCTCCGCAAGATGTAGCTGAGGTAAACATCTGTATGGGCTTGTGCATGGGAAGGAGGAACGCAGCGAGAAGGAAAGCAAACAATAGCAGTTCGCAAGATCTGCAGAGTTGAAGGCGATTGCTTAAATGTGTCAGTCCATCTGCGGACTTCAAAAAAAAGCTGGAGCACATTGCAGGCTTGCAGCTGTGTTGAATGGCGAAAGATAGAACTGCAGCTTTGCAACGATCATGCCGGGAGCAGGTCCAGGGGATGTTGAGAGAAAGAATCAAGTTCATGTGCTGCTGACAGGCTCAGCTGCAGCAGTATCAGCAACAGATGCTTCAGCAGCAAATGCTGCAGCAGCAGCAGCAGCAGCAGCAGCTACAACTACAGCAGCATCAGCAGCAGCAGCAGCAGCAGATCCAGCAGATGCAGGGCGCTTCAGGCCAGCTATGAACTGATGCACAGAGTATGCAGCGCATGCTGTCTACTCTTGTGTTGTGGTCCATGTACTTTGGTGCTTATTGCTTCATGCTCTCCTTGCGTGGCCCAAGACAAGCATTTGTACACTGAAAGATCCATCCTGCATGTTGAAGCACACCATGAATCTCTTTGAAAAGTCTGGTTAGTGGTCGCTGTTTATGGAAATTGTTCGGGAGTTGCATACTTGCAGGGTATTCGGGCATTTTGAAGGCCATCGCATCAGTTGCATGGCTACTGTTCTGCCAGCTGCTGCGACGTTGTCTGCACGCCGATGTAAGGGCCTGCGGCACAAACCAGTGCCCAACATGTCCAAGCCCACGAAGTCTCCCAGTAACTTGACCGCGAAGCTTCGTGCCATGGACCTGGCTTTGGAACAGATTGAACTCAATCAAAACTTACCTTCAGAGGCCAGCTCAGTCAGTCAAGGCAAATCGGCTGAGCCTATTCTGAGCTTGGTTCAGGACTGTGTTGCTAAGACCGCAGAGAAGATGGAAACTCTGCAGACCGCTGTTTGGTCGCACTTGCAAGAAGAGACTTTGTCAATATCGCAACAGGGCTTGGACAGGCAGCTGGCGACGGAGAGGAAGATGACAGAATTTCAAGTCGAGCTCACAACAGCTCTTGAGCATCACTTGAATGATGTAGAGCTCATCTTCGACAGGCGTGTGCAACAGGTTCGAGCAGAGTTATTTCAAGCACTGGCTGGCATTGAAGCGATGACCAAGGAGCACAACCTTAGTGTTTCCAGACTGGACGGCAAGATGCAGGAGCAGATAGATCAAATTGAGAGAACGCTCGCAAACGAGTGTTTGCACAGGGAGGAAGCAGCCAAGACATACGCAGATAGCCGTGCGGATGTGAGCAATTTGCAACAGCAATTAGAACTTTGTCAAGACGCACTGGAGTTTGCAAAAGAGCAGATACAGCATTCTCGTCACCGGACACAGCAGCTGCAAGACAACAGTGATGAATTTCAGACAGAGTTTTCTTTGGTAAAGCAGCGCTTGCAGCTACTTCAGGAAGAGGTGTTTTCGATAACACCTGACTTGGAAAGACGCAATCAGAAGCTGGAAGATCTGTTGCGGGAACAAATTGGTCAGGTGGAGTCCAAATTTGCAGAAGCTCCAAGCTTACGAAGCTGCGCCGCCTTTGCAGCAGGTCCTTTGCCGGCACTAGGCAAGCTGGGCAAGCAGTGTGACATGCAACCAGCCAATGAATCAAATGTGAGGGACATTTTCCAACGGTTGGAAGAATTCCAAGCATGTTGGCCTGGATCCTTGCAAGCCGAGCATGCTCGATTGGATGAGATTCGAAACATCATGGAAGCTCGTTTTGCATCTGCCTGGGTCCAAGTTGATTTTGGGTTTCGTCCGTCTCTGCATGAGCTTTTGGTATGAGCTCCCATCCTGTCTATGAGGCCCAGGACCAAATTCGTTGTCTTGAACTTGCTCAAGCTCGAGAGTCGAAACAGGCAGGACTTGCGAAGACAAATGTAGCTTTATGTAGCCCTTGAGAATGAGAAGCAGCATCAAGCTACGGATTTTCTTCTGTGTTTCTCGGGTACTGGTGTGTGCTGCAGAGGAAAGGCATAAGGCATACGTCCCGAATCTCGATAACCTAAGGAGTTTGTCTGCCTCACAGGAATGCTGGACACAGCAATTCTCTTAGTCACTCAAGCCGCATGTTTTGCCATAACGAGCGTCAAGGCTGAAACAAGATGGCAGGAGGCTTTGTCGAATCCTCAACATTTGTGTCCTGAAGCTATGTACATTGCCGAACTGTCATGAGAGGTGCTGTGTCCCTGCTGAGTGCATTCCTGCTGGTAGAGAGAACTAGATGTTCATGCGATTTCTAAGGGTGTGCTCAGGCAAGAGCTCGCTGGCAAGCTTCAGGCCAGTCGATATAACACGTAGACTGCTACGTGCTGAGAACTGTCAACTACAGTTCTTACGGAGTTGCTCGCGAACTCTTCCTGACCACTGCTGCAGACTGAGGGCTGCAGGGTCCTGTTTAGCTGGAATGTTCTTTCGGTCCCATTTCTGGCTTGGTCTCATTTAAGCATGAAATGGCTGTGAAGTGGCCATGTCAGCTTCGCAGGTGGTAACTGGGCTTGACGTTCGCGCAGGCTGGTCAAAGTACGTGCAGTTTCTGCGTTTATGCTTGCGTTCGATGGGCCCGCATGCATCCCAGGATGCAATCCCAACAGACAAGTTTTCAGTAGCTGTTTAACACAAGCTTTTAAACATCCTTTCTTGCTTTCTTGTGCCTCTGGTTTGGGTTCAAAATCTGATTTTCGATCTCTGCAGTGCTGTGTTCGCATTCCAGTGGTTGTTTCGTGAAAGGTCAAGCTCTCATCGAGATTCATCGATTGGAGGATGCTCCTAGATGCCTAGCCGTGTGTCTTCACTTGTTGCCCGAATCTCCGCCTACAGGAACGGCTTGAACGCAGCGAAGCACTTCAAACTGAGCTTCAGTCTCATGGGCAGGTGAGATGACACTTTGATCTCACTGGCTCAATGTTTGCGAATGCTGTGCGGAAGGCTCAGTCTCAGAGGATCCAGGAGGTGTCCGATCAACTTTTCTCAGCTCCGTGGTCCAGGCTGAACTAGTCGATAACAATTTGGCAGGTGCTTGTGATATGAACTGGCTCCCCTCTCAGCCAGGGCCATCCACAATTTGGAGTGTGAGTTGAAAGCGCTTCTGGCCGGGCAAGTTGAGGCCTGAAAAATTCGACAACTGGCATGTGGATTCAGCATGCGCGACTGAGCTTGGCTCCCGCACAGGACTCTGCAGCTGCTCTGCGATCAGTTGCGCAGCTGATGGAGGTGTGCGCTCAGTTTAAGCACAAGCTTGTAAGTCTAGAGTTTCACTTCCTGGGTCATGGACCGCGGTGAAGGTCTGTAGGTAAACGTCAGCATGCCAGAGCAAGAACGTAGCGAACGTAGCTGCAGGTCTGACCCAACGCCTGGGTTAGCCTGGCACTGGGTTTGATTTGTGCCATCAAGGGCCCCAAAGCAGAGCACAAACTGCCAGACATTCTTGTGTCAGCATGACTAGCAGCCGTAGGGAGTTATTGCCAGAATCCTATTTTTTTTTACTTATTTCCATTTTTTTTCGTTTTCTTTGTCCTAGGAATATTGCAAGTTGCAGCATTTGGAGCACTTGAGAGGCTGCAAAAAATGCAAATTACAACATTTGCAACTTACAATGTTTGCAGTTCTTGACAGGCTACGAAATACTGCAAATAACAGCATTTGGAGTTCTTGAAAGGCTGCCAATACCGCAAATTACTGCAAATTACGACATTTGCGGCTCTTGAAAGGCCACGAAAACTGCAAATTGCAGCATTTGGAGTTCTTGAAAGGCTGCCAATACTGGAAATTACAATCTTACCAAACCCTAAAAACTTTAAAAAGCCTAAAAACTTGAAACCGCTACCAACCCAAAATCAAAAAAAACCCTAAACCCTAAAAAGCCCTAAACCCTAAAACCCCGGAGCCCTAAGAACCCCAAACCCGAGACAGCCTAAACCCTAAAATCCCCAAACCGTAACAACCCTCAACCCTGAAAACCATCAGAAACCCTAGACCCTAAAGACCTTAAAACACACCAAACCCTAAACACCCTAAACCCTAAACCCTATAAAGCCTAAAATGCACAAAACAATTTTAAAAAACTAACACCTGACAACCCTAAAACCTAAAATCTTTAAACCCTAAAAACCTTACACCCTAAAACCACTAAACCCCCTAAATCCTACAACCCTAAAACCCTAAACCCTAAAAACCCTACGCCCTAGAAAACCTTAAAAGCCCAAACCCTAGACAGCCTAAACCTTCTAAACCCTAAACCCTGAAACCCTGAACCCGAAGAAAACCTAAACCTCAAAGACCCTACAGACCCCGAACCCTAAACACCTTAAACCCTAAACCCTGAAAGCCACAAACCCTAAAGCCTTAAATCCTAAAACACCAGAAGCTCTAAAATCGAAAAACCTTAAGAACCCTAAACGCTACAAGCCCTACACCCTGAAAAGCCCTGACAACCCTCAACCCTAAAAACTTGAAACCCCTATAAACCCTAAACCCTACAACCCTAACACCCTAAACCCTAAAAACTCTGAACCCTAAAAACCCCAAACCCTCGAAACCTTAAACCCTTTCAACCCTTTTAGTGTTGCATCCCCTCATATTGAGAGGCGCGGATCCGCCACCGGGTCCCTGACACTAGTCCAGGACCGATCATGACGTGCAATCCCATTTGGGAGTTGACACGCCAGGAAGGATTCAACATGGAGGAAGCTAGCAGAAGGGAAACCTTTAACTTTCAAAATCCTAAACCCTAAACACCCTACAACTAAAAACTCCAAGCCCTAAAAACCTTAAGCACCTTAAACGCCCTAAAAACCCTAAACCCTAACACCTTAAGATGCTCGGACAGAGAAGGAAGAGAGGAGGGCCCCGAATGGTTGTGGGTGAGATACCGCCACAAGAGCAGATTTACCAGAAGAAGCTCGAGTCCTTGGCACAACAGTACAGTAAACCGAAGAGAGGAAACGCCAAGTTCAAACCCAGCCAAGCCTGCAATGTGCTTCGCACGGTCGCCAGACGGAGCAAGACCGCTT